TCCAAAAACAGTTTTTTAGCCCTTCAGCCATGACCTTGAAACTCCCAAGCGCAGACAGCCATGGACCCGAAACAACCCTAAACTCCGAAGAGGCAGCAATCTTGAACATAGCGTCCAGGCGACTGTGCCCTGCAAGCCCTGCAGACTCGGGCAGCCTCTGTGGCCGATGCACCGGGAGGCGCAGTCTGGTTAGGACATGTTGGGACCCCAACTTCAAGGACCCTAAGGGTAGAGGAGTTTAGGATTGCCTTTTTGAGTCCAGCACATGAGACATTTATTGGATTGCGGCGTGTCTTTTGTGTGGTGTGTACAACCATGCGTTGAGTCTAGGACATTTTCAGGATGCGGGGTTTAGGGTCTATACGGCTTTTATAAGGCTTCTATAAGGTATATAGGCCTTCTATAAGGCTCCGATAACGGTAGCTACCCACGCGAAAATGTCCTAGATTGAGGCTTTACGGTTCTACGGTGTGCCGAATGTGTTCGGTTTGGGCGATGGATGGCGCGTGCCTGATTCCGTCGGTGGGTCAATGCCGGCTCCGCATACAGTCATACAGCCTCAGGTTTTTAGGCGATGGGTTCTACGAGAAACTTTTTAAAACTTGTCAAACCCTTAGGGTTTGGGGGTCTACCCAAAACCCTAAACCTTAAACCTTAAATCCTAAAAATTAAACCCTAAACCTTAAAAAATAAACCCTAAATCCTAAAAATTAGACCCTAAAACCCAAAAGCTGTAACCTAAAGTTGTAACTTTATACGGAGAAGACCAGCCAGGCTGCCCCGCGGGTCTTGGCCGCCCCATCGGCGGCGCACCATGCCGGCCCTGCCCCGAAGGGACCTATAGCGAGGAAGGCCGTCCTCGAGTTGATCAGGTTTAGGGTTTAGGGTTTAGGTTTTAGGGTTTAGGGTTTAGTGTTTAGGGTTTAGGTTTGTTTCTGGTTTGTGTAAGTTAGGGTTATGGGGGTTGGTTTGTATAAGGCTTATACAAGGGCCTGTAGGGTTTTTTGTTGAAGGCTCTTTCGATGTTTCATGAGAGGGTTGCAGAGCACATATAGAGTAATATAGGGGCCTAAACACTTACCTATACTATTTTGGGGCTCCTTATTATACTTATAGTATAATGGGCCCCAAAACCCTATTCTTATTATTACGGCCCCTACAGTATACTCGCTGATGAGGGTTTCTCCAAGTTGGTGATACCGTATTCAGGCCTCGTGGACCCCAGCTTCCAAAGCCTAAATCCTACGATCCTCCTACAACCCGTATATCACATCCCAAAATGGTTGTACAACCCCAAATAATATATCACTTCATTGAACTTCCTCAACACACATTTACGACTCTGCAAGATAGAAGCCCTTTTTAAAGACCTGTAGAAACCCTGTAATTCAATATCCTTGTTCAAACCAAGGTAAACCCCTCAACCCTAAACCCC